GTGGGCAACAGCTGCTTTTAGGAATACTTTAAAACACTTTACCAGCTGTGCGTCTAAACTGTGTGTACTCAACACTGCTAAAACTTAAATCCATAATTAACATACAACTGTTAAATTTAAGACTTCTACACACTGCTTATGCTTTAGTAAGGGAACAAATGATTTAAAAGGTATACTAATGATCAGTAAAGTAGGAACTAAATTTGGTGAAACCGTATTTTTGCCTCGTACGTCAGCTGTTTTTCCTGCTATATGTTATTATGGAGGTGTCGGTCTTATTTCCGATGGTAGCTTCCGTGATACGGAAAGAAAGAAAGAGTTACTTGGGAAAGATGAAAATTATTTAGGGGTCCATTTGGCATATGGAGGAGTGTAGTGTGGGGTTTTAATCCAGATGAAGAGTCACTAGATGGTCAGTTCAAGTATGTGCACATTTAGGATGTCTGGCAATTTGCTATTGCACTTTTCTAACTTGACCTATATGATTTTTAAAGTTCAAACCTTAGTTAGCCCTGCGGCATAGTTTATTAATATAACTTTTTATTTGAGGATTTGAGGGACGGCTATCGGGGACAGAAATAGCAAGGTTTTGTTTTGTTTTGTTTTTTAAGATGTAATGGTTTAATGTAACTTCCCCAGTTATGAATTCCCCAGGACTATGAATTGTTTCCTCGGGATACCGGGGAAGCAACTGATACCTCTTTTATCTTCTTACTTTTTGGTGCTGAGGTGCTATATTTTTTTTCTCATCATGAGGGCGATGCAATTTCCATGTATATATCAACTTTGGACAGGTTCAAATCGCCACCTGAATTTTAGAAATTACCATCAACACAGTATGGTTCAATTCTGTGAGGCCTTCAAGTGCGTTTACCCAGAATTAACATTGAGCTTAGTTATTTAGAAGCTGCTGTTGTTTTTCCTTGTTCCTGCCCCTTTTGTCAGAGAGAAATACATAAACATTTAGTTTTTAATATATCCAGAAGTTTTCTTGCCCAGATTTGCTCAAGTTCGTTGAGGCCTGTGCCAGTGCAAGTTGCTTGCTAAGAAAAGCCAACTCCATGTCGTTCCCAGAGTGGATTTCTGCAAAAATGCCTACTTTGAACCTTTCTCTTGGAAAACGAGCTCTGGAGGACGTAGAAACTTGTCTGCCAGGGGCTTGTGACGGCCCGCTGCGGGCAGAGCTGTCTTTGCCAGCAATGTGTGCGTTCGGGAGCTGCTATTTTTAGCCCTTTAGCTTTTGAACCTTTTGTCGTAACAGAAAGAGGAAGTGAACAGTGAAATCGCTTTAATAACATATTTCCTAGTTGAAGTGACTTATCTGTGAGGCCTAGACAGGGAGTATGTCATTTCCTGCATTACTTATCTTCAGTTTGGAGGTCTGTTTTACTGTGTAATGCTTTGACCCAGCTTCTTCTTAACTAGTGCAATTTCAGCGTTCAGTGAAGTGTTTTAACAAAAACATAAAGCTTTAAGGAAACACCTGTGTCAGAACGTTAGTGTGTAAAACACAGGCGTCTTTCATGAAGTACATGTTGACGTGTATTGAAAATCCCTTATCTTAAAATTTATTTTAAGGATGTAGAATTCTGCCTTTGAAAGAGCATAGATAAAGTTCACGGGGATAAAAGTAAGCTGATGCTCTTTTGAGCTCCTCATGATGCTGACATTGATCACCTCTCTTTGCTAGTGCCTACGGTCACCGGCTGTCCTCAAAAGTTAGGGTGCTCCCAAATAGTTAAGAATGGGCAGTTCCTTTGCTCTCAAATTTCCGTTCATTAATAGCCGCTTGTGAAAACTGCTGTCAGAAGCCTAGGAAAAGGAGGATGAAAGAGCTAATCAACAAATTTGCTGCAAATATGGTACCCAGTTTTTACAGCCTACAGAAAAGCTTTGTATTTGGAATGACAGAGGGAGGACACAATGACATCTAAAATGATAATAAACAGCTCATTTTAAATTAGAAGGTATGGTTCTTTTCGATCCTTTAATGCATCTTCACTAAAATATCTGTTGGAATTGATAACTTTATTTTTTTCTTTTGAATTTGTGAATAAGATTTAAATAGGGCACACTAACAACGTTTTTACTTGGTCATCCTCTAAAATACCTTTGCATGAGAACCATTGAAATAACACTTGAACTTCCTTCTCTTGTCCAAAAAAATGGAAAGAAGATATACCTATTTTATTTGTATTAAGACAGAGTGCTTTTATTTCTTTCCCCTTAAATGTCTACACAGTTGTTTAGTGATCAGTAAAATATTGTTTTGGTAGCAATGAAAGGAGACTGGAAAACAGTTGAATAGATATTAGTCTGCGAAGAGAGGAATAGAATAAGAATATGCTCAGAGCTTGAGAGAATTGGCTTTTATTTTTAAGTCCGTAAAAATGAGAACTGTGATTCATCAGCAAAATATGCACAGGAAGAATTGTGAAACCCTAATTGGGTTAAAGGATTCTAGAGAGTAGCGAAGGCTTTTACTTCAGCACAGTAAATTGGCCCTGTAAACAGCAGTCATATATTAATGCAGTTATATTGCAAATATATTAGTGAAAGTGTAGCTTAAAGTCCTATTTGATATTGGAGTTACGTATTGTGTATAGACTGCCAGCTAACTGGAATTGGGACTTCCTTGTGCTAGCTATTATAAAATCATAAAAGAAGGACCGGCCCGTTCGTACTCCATCAGATCACGCAGTATGGTCCTTTTCTTGGTGTGGCAGGTAAAGATGCATATTTCTGGAGATACACTGTGCTGCAGAGCAGGATATCTATTTTTGAAAGCTAGTATTTGCTAAATAGCTGTGAATTACAGATTCTATTATGTTGTTTTGTAGGAAGTCACCTACACTGATTTCAGTTGGGTATGTGGGTTGATGTAATTGTTGGAATGCCTAAGCCATAAGTATTTAACAACCTTTTTAGTTTCGTTATTTCTTTAGTAAAAATTTCATCAGATCTAAGAATGCGTTTAGTCTTCTGTTGCTTTGAAAGATGAACAAGATGTCCTCATGCATCGTGTAGAAAACGCTGACAAGAAATGAGAAATCTGGTAACCCCTTAATGGGTCTGGCAGGAACAGTTACGGTCAAGGCTCAGCTAATGGCTATAAGTATTATTTTTAGTGTCTAAAGCTTGATGCCGTATATTCTTCAATGTCTTCCTCTTTTTGCTTTTTAAACACTATTTTATGTTGCTTTTAATAAGGGAGTTCTAAAACAGATTTTAATGATGTGCAAGATCTTCAGATCACAGTTCTTGTTACATAGATTCAACAATAAAATTCCACGTTTTTTCTGTGCTGAAACCGCAGTATCGTAGGTGTGGCATCTTTTGAGGTTTTTTTGGGGAGGGAGGGTGTTCTTTAAGAATTTTTGCTTTATAAGATGTTTCAATGCGTCTGTGAGGCTCTGATATTTTATAATAATAATGTCAAAGTAATAAATGTAATCCTCTCAGGAGCCTCACAGATGAACCTAGTGAGATGCTAGTGATATTTCTGTACCGATTTCAAACAAATTACTAGCAAGGAAAGCTTATATTCTGTAACCTTTATCAGAAGGAAATAGACCGTGAAATCACACAAACATGTCTGTCCTGTAATTTCTTGAGCAAGTCCTGTTTTTCATATATGGTCTGGTGACTGTTACTGATATTTCCCAAGACATTTTCATTACATAGGAGGGGGGGAAAAAACCTTTTTGCAATTGAATCTCTTAATTTTGGAAGTGCACTTAATCACTAATGGCTTTTGTGGTGAAACTAAATACCTCATCTGTGGAGATGTCGCTTGTCTTATTCATGTGCATGTATATTTAGCACAGTCTAGCATTCAGAATGTGTTTGATAGTCTTGGGCCCTACCCTTAACGCTGTCCAGGTAGTTGTATTATTAGAATGAGTATAATAATTTTAGTAAGATTTGTAATAGAAATGATCCTTTCCCAGGTACATTTTAAAAAATCAACAGGTGGTTAACTATAGCGTCATTTATGTCTGTCAGATATAAAGAAGAATGAAAGACTGTATAGTTACATTGGTTGCTTATTAATAAATATAATATTGTCTCCGATTTAAATCTCTGACTCAAATCTCTGTGTTGCCCTGTTGAGGTTTAAAGAACCTTAAGAAACAATCTCAGGATTTTGTTTTTAGAGCAAAGAATAAAACTCTCGGTCCAGGCAGAGCCCTGGAGATGCTGCACGGGAAGGGTTCTGGCTCTTCTTAGTATCTGAAGTTTCTGTTTACTTTTCTTTGTTCGTGTATAACTAGAAAGGTCTCTGTACTTTCGAGTAATCTTTTTTAAGCTAAGGAAGATGAAATTATGTAGCAGGTGTTTAAAATACTATTTTCAGTCTAGGTTTCGGTGATCTCCTTCCTCGTCATTCTTAACGGTGCCAGGACAGTTGTTTTATATGGAGGCATTGAGAACTGGTAGCAGAATGACACATAGAGTTCTGGCTTGTCTTGTGTTGAGTTGCTCAGAAAAAGTAATCTAGTTCTCTGAGCTTGAATTATGTAGTGCATTCTCTTTTTACACTTAGGTCACGTCTTGCTTACAAGAAGATAAATATGCAGTCAGCTTTTGAAAATCCAGAGTAAGAGGGGAGAAAGAGCCTAAGCAAAGCTCAAACAAATGGATAATACGAATGTAAGGTTTTGGAATATGCAGTAGAAGTGGAATGGGAAAAAAAAGAAATTGACTGGACCAAGTATCTTAAACTGATGTTTACCAGTAAGACTACTACTCTAGTTTAAGCCCTAGTGCCACTAATCTGTAGTAATATATCTATACTCTTTCTGGACTGACCTGGAGTCAGTCAATGTGTTTTAGCTCCTTTACCATGACACATACTTCAGAGAGAGTTTTATTTGCCTGCTAGGAATATAATGTATGCTTGAAGAATATATAACCATTCTCAGCATAGTAGTTTTTAACAAGTTGCTAATTTCTATTTTAGAACTCAATTAACTACTACTTATTTCTTTCCAGGACGGCTTGAATTCCTTGGTCCTTGATCTGGATTATCCAGCGCTGAGGAAAAACAAGAACATAGATAATTTCTTAAATAGATGTAAGTTGCAACGGACCTTAAACAATGGCACGGTTGTGATTAATGTCTTAGAAGTTGAGTGATCAGAAATGCATTACTCATTTTCATTTTACTAATGGTTAAAACTCTTGTTATAAAGCTTGTATTTTGAAGTATCAGTTATTACAGTGACGTTTTATTTTTGGGAGTTGTTATATTGATAAAAATATGTTGGAAAATACTGGCTGTAGAATGTAATTTTTACAACTACAGTTATCAAAATTGTTTTTATGTTATCTTTTCCCTTAAGTATCTACTGTGAAGTAATTCGCAAAGCATATCATAGTTATCACTTTGTAGTAATTAATTACTCAAAATGTAAACACGGCATATAAACTCTTATCTAATCTAAGAGAGAAGTCTTCTGTTGACTTTGAAACTGAATTATTACATCTTAAAGTCTGCTGCACCATTTATGTTGTGTTTGTTCTCTTACAAGCAGCCATCAGCTTTTTTATGTGATATCTGCAGCTCTTTTCCAAACTCAGTGGCATATTTCTGTGCCATTTTTCTAGCTCAAAAAAGGTGGCTCTGTTGCTGTCCAGATAGCTCTCTGTGACCCTATGTGCAGCAGGCAGGGAGAAGCAAATCACAGGCTTTTCTTTGCCGCCCATACACACAGAACACCACTGGAAAGGACAGGATACATCAGCATATAGAAGCAAATGAAACATGCTCTGTTGAAGTAAACTAAGCACCCAAGAGTCGTTCTTGTTTGGTAGTTTTGCATGAGGCACCCAAGACAACATGGCGGGATTAAGACCACACGGAAGGCCTCCAAGATGCCATATGGCTGGGGAACAACCAGAAAGAGAATTTTCTCAGCAATGAGTATTTTAGTGATGTATCCAAACCGATACGCTATAAGAATCCTGTGTAAGCATCTATATTCAAATTGCTGTGAGGGAAAAACCCTGTCTGCAGCAAATGTGAAAATGATGCAAATGATGATATCATTACCTGTTATGAACTGTTTAAATCCGCCTATGTATTACAATACAATTTTTGCAGTGTGACAAAGCTAGATGCCTTTTTCACTTGTAAGGAAATAGTATTTTCTTCTGTGGCCCCTGAACTTTCTTGCTGGCTGTCTTCCCTTTTCTGAGTACTGCTGCTCCCTCTTCTGCTCTAGCTTCTCTCCTGTTGTTCTCTATTTTAACAATAGTTGTGCAAACGTCTTAAAAATGATTAAGCATCCTATATGGGAGGCCAGCTACCAGCAATGGGAGAAACCTGGAAATATACTTTGGTTCACAGTTTTATGTCTGCCTTATCTTTAAATCATCTGACAGTTTACAGATGAGGTAGCCATAGATCAGCTAAAGAGGATTCTGTAATGTTTAAAAAAAACTGACATTTATGGGTGGTATGTGAATGCTTTAAATTTGCAGTAGTTAATAAATGTTTTCAGCAGTGTACTTCACACTTATCTGAACTGCCTTAAAAAAGCGTTTAAAGAAGTTACTTTGGTTCACACATTGTGGAGCAGTGCATCTCTTTTAAGTATTAGTCATATAACTTCTGTGCTGTTATAGCATTGCCTGAGAGAGAATGGAAAATAGCGCTGCGTATCTTCTGTGATTTACTTTCTGAAAAAAGTCTATCTGAAGCGAGACTTTTGTAGACATTTGATGCTGGTAATATGTTGGTATTGAAACTGAAAGAAGCCGTCCTGGCTCAGCATTTTGTTTCAAATTCCTTTCCGATGAAGATATCTGTGTAGTTTGTTGTGAACCAGGTTGGGGAACGGATCAGAACTAACACAAAGGTTGGTCTGGTTGGTTCGTTGGTTTATTTTTATTAAAGCTAGCTAGGTATAGAAGGGAACGAAGAATGGATTTGGGAGAAATCCGAACAACACAGGGAGTGGTTCCATCCGCAGGCCCACTAACAGTTCAGAAACTCTGACTCGATAAACTTACCAGTGACTTCATATGCATTAACCAGCATCACTCAAAAACTGGAAACCTCCATTGCTAGAGTATTTTTCTGATGTTTTGGAGGATAGCGGACTTCAGACTGTAATGGCAACATACATCTTTACACTATAAAAGGAGCCTTTAATGCAGGTATGTCACTTGTGCAGCAACCGTGCAGAAGCTCTGCAGAGGCTTCCTGGAAAGTTGTCTTTACCATTTTCTTCTCCAAGCAGATGCTGCTTAGAAGCTGTACCCATTAAGCAAAGTTAATCCAGAGGAACTTCTTGCAAAAATAACAATTTTGGTTCCTTCTCTTCTGCTTTGTTATGGTGCTTGAAGGTTCTGACTCATATGCCAGCTCTGCCGTTACTGACATAAATGCATTATCTAACGTGGTATTAATGCCTGTCGTGATTGTAATTCTTTGTATTCCATAAGTCCTATCAGTGAAACAGATGAAATGTTGGATGCCAAGAGAAGTCTGAGAAAAAGTGTAGTGTAGATCTCATGTTGAGTTAATGAGCTAATTGCCCCTCTGTTTTTTGTCTTGACTTCTTTAAGGCCACTCCTTCACAGGTCATTGTAGTCACTTCAGCAGGTTTAGCTTCAATTCCATTTTAAACAATATTCTGTTAAGAGTCGTGATGGTGGAGGTATCAAATAATCAACTTTTCTGAAGGAAAGCATCAATTGGAGTCAAAATTTTTAAGAATGTCTTAAAAGCATAAGCAAGTTGTACATCAGTGGTGTTAGCCCACTTTTCCATTTGGTCACTGGACAGATCTAAAGCAGTTCATTTCTTCCATTAGACTCATTTTCACAGAATCACAGAATTACAGAATGATTGAGGTTGGAAGGGACCTCCGGAGATCATCTAGTCCAACCTCCCTGCTCAAGCAGCATCCTCTAGAGCATGTTGCCCAGGATCACATCCAGACGGGTTTTGAATATCTCCAGCGAAGGAGACTCCACTACCTCTCTGGGCAACCTGTGCCAGTGCTCTGTCACCCCCCAGGAAAGAAATTTTTTCTCAGATTCAGATGGAACTTCCTGTGTTTCAGCTTGTGCCCATTGCCTCTTGTCCCATTGCTGGGCACCACGGAGAAGAGTCTGGCCCCATCCTCTCGACACCCTCCCTTCAGATACTCATTGATGAGATCGCCTCTCAGTCCTCTCTTCTCCAGACTGAACAGGCCCAGCTCTTGCAGCCTTTCTTCAGAGGAGAGAGGCTCCAGTGCCCTCATCATCTTAGGAGCCCTCCGCTGGACTCTCTCCAGTAGTAGACAGAGAGGATGACCTCCCTCGACCTGCTGGCAACACTCTGCCTAATGCACCCCAGGAGACCATTGGCCTTGTTGCCACAAGGGCAC